GCTTTCATCGTGATTTGACTGTGTAGCAACTTGGGTCGAGTCTTTGCTTTATTTACTACGTCGTTTTCAAATTATAATTTCACCCCTTCTAGTACGCACCTCATTTCTATGTTATTATTTTCTTCCTGAAGTTTTCCCATGCTCTCGTAGTTGATTGTTCTGTTTCTCAATGCGCATGGTTAAACCATGGGTTAATCGTGCGGCTCTCACAATTCCCTCGTTTAACAAGGAAAAAACAAAGTCGACTGCTTCCTGACACTTGTAGGTTGATATAGGTTAATTATGTCTAGAGTACTCACCTAGTTGTGTCAGGTGAGTACACAAGGCATGATTGATCTCTGGGTGTGATGTGATCTCTGAAATGTTTCACATGATATGCCTAATAGAAATTATCTCACCTCTTCCTAGTTTTCCCATCAATATAGTTTGCATCTTCAGTCGATATGAGAGATCGTTCACCCAAGCTATCTTGCCATGATTGAAGGTAAGGCAATTAATTATCAGAATAAAGCGCTAATTCAGTATGATTATATATACTGTAGCACTTTGAAAGATAAGAACAGATTAGAAGATGAGATATAAGAACGGGGTAAAGGAACGGTGCCCAAATACTTGCAACATCGGGGATCGAACGTCGACCATGCTAGAAGTGATATTGCTGACCAGTCTAAGTGGATAGGTTGCAATGGTTGAAGTCTCTCATGATTAATGGTCAGAATCCATACCTACTGGCGGCAGCAGTTGTGTTGTATTAAAGTACTAACCCCCTCCCCCTATTCTATTTGTCGTACTCCTGCCTGGGTCTCTTGGTAGTGGGAAGTATTATATGTGGTACTACGACCTCTTGGTCCTCCCAATGGTATGATACCTGTTGTAATTTGTTCTTCATAGCCTCAGATTATCATCTCTAAAGTTCTACCGTAAATGCCAAAATTCTGCTACAATTTAAGATCTAACTAAATAGATAAAATCATCACAATAAATGATGGAGCATTTGACAAGCCGCCGGCTTCCTGTCCTCACCGAAGAGACTATAGAGATACTAAATATTAAGTCACTGGACATTCTCTCAAGTGTACTTTACACTCTGCACTGTAATGCTAATCCTGATCTTAAGTGCTTTTAATAAGAGGGCTGACAAAACCCTTGAGTACCACACGAGAAACAAATATATTTTTGATATTCCAAGAGTGTGGCTTAACCATAGCAGAAATGCTCTGCAAATCAAGGGTCCTAAACTATGGAATGACTTTCCTGATGACATTAAAGACTGTTCTTCTCTCACCCAGCTTAAAAGAGAGCCTAAAAACTAGCTAATTAACTCCTCAAGAGGAAATCTACTTAATTAACTGCCCAAGAGAGCCTAAGAGCTAAGAGAAAGCCTAAAAGACTACCTAGAGAGCCTAAGAGCTACCTAATTAACTATGTAATTGCTCACCTCTTCTCATCCTACATGTCAACCTGCGTTCGCTGTTATTGTGATCATTAATACCTAAACCTGTAATATTATTAATAAATGCAGTATCAAAATTTAATGCAGGAGTTGAATATCATCTGTTTAATCCCTTCTTCAATTTAAAATAACTTATCGTTTACTGTTAAAAGGTTTACAGTTTCCAAATGTCACACAAACATTTTATAATTTCAATTCTCTCCATCAACTAATAAATATTATATTGCCTATGTAGTTTAAAGAATATTCCCATTAAGTTTACACTGATGGCTCCTTGCATCAATCCTGTGATGCAGCTGGAAGTGCAGCTGTTGTGACAGCGAGAGATGGCTCCTATTCCTATGAGCAATCCTTATATAATTGTCTCTGCTGTATTTATTTATATATAAGAAGGTACATTGGGTTTGTGAGAATACATAGCATAGTACAGTATTTACACTCATATAAAGCCACTAGTACGCGCTGCGTTTCGGGCAGGTCCTTAATCTAACAGATAATTTTCAATGTTACTACCTAGTTACTTAGTTACTACCTACAATGATAATTGTAGGTAGTAACTAAGTGATTGTAACCTATCCACCGCTGCCCACTGGATGGGGGGCGGTGTGCAGGACAAATATATCAATTGTGACACTAGCTCTCCACATATGTCTGTTGCCTAATTTAGAAACTGTACTTGTGATCGATCTCGAACCCATTGATCATGTGACGACTTATAATGAATTTTGTAACTAGCTCATCAAGACTGTAACTTGCTTAGCTAAATGAATTGTGGGGTTCAGTCCCTGAGCCCAATATGTGCCTCTGTAACCCTTTCCACTACCGCCCACAAGATGGGTATGGGGTGCATAATAAATGAACTAAACTAAACTTCCTATGAGTGTGGAGCACGTATATATAACGGCCTCCACTCTTCAAACAGACCGCTCCTGTGCCAGGTAAGTCTACTACGGGCTCACCATAGCCCGTGCTACTTGCCCCGCTCCTGTGCCAGGTAAGTTACGGGCTCACCATAGCCTGTGCTACTTGGAACTTGTTCCGAGTAGCTGAATCTATAACAACAACAACAATCTTCAAACAGAACTGTTTGTCATAATTCTTGCGCTCGAACAAGTACAGTATATGAGTCCAAACTTGACACGTTAATTGTAAGTGACTCCTTGTCATCCTTGACTGCACTCACGTCCCCAAGGAATAACTTTAACATACTTGTGACTCAAGCTAGACACAGATATAATGAAATAATCAATGATGGAGTCAGAGTTTGTCTCCTGTGGCTTCCAACCCATATTGGTCTCCGAATGCCTGATAAAACTGATGAATTAACCGACACATTTCCTCGTAAAGAGGAAAATTATTACCATCTTGGACTGCCTTAGAGCAGGCTGAGGGCAGTAATATTCCGAGAACAACAACCAAAATCTCGTAGACTTGAGGCAAAGTGAAATTCACATCAGTTACTCCATCTATCATCATTCTGTTGTGCAGGAAGAACCGCACATGTATGGATCATCCTATATGGTTAACAGACTTCTAGATGTTACCACTGCTATATAGGCTCAGGCTCGGCTAAACTGTACCTGTATCGAAGCGAAGTATCCAAAGTTTGCGTACTGCCGGTAATGCTGCACATGACTGTAAAGCTGCCGCCCAGTTGGGTGGGTGTGGAGCAGGATTAGCAACCGTGTAACTGGCTCACCGTATATGTGAACTGCCTTGTACACAGACTGTTGTGGTCCTCTTCTTGAATCACATGTTCTATAAAGGGACCATTGATATATGTATATGTTTGTTCATTCAAAAAGGAATTTTCTCAAATACAGTATATATTAATATTATATTATAAATTAGCATATTGTGCCTGTATTGGCATAGGTTATCTTGAGATGATTTCGGGGCTTTTAGTGTCCCCGCGGCCCGGTCCTCGACCAGGCCTCCACCCCCAGGAAGCAGCCCGTGACAACTGACTAACACCCAGGTACCTATATTTACTGCTAGGTAACAGGGGCATAGGGTGAAAGAAACTTTGCCCATTGTTTCTCGCCGGCGCCTGGGATCGAACCCAGGACCACAGGATCACAAGTCCAGTGTGCTGTCCGCTCGGCCGACCGACTCCCTGGTTAGGTTAGGTTAGATGTTTAGATTCTTGTGGCGATTATTTGTATTTGTAGTACGTGGGTGAAGCATTTACAGCGTTGTGGTTCGAACAAAATTCGTCAATGAAGCACTTGTTCGAGAAGTGTTCGAACGAAAAAAATCAGTTGTGAGTCGTGTGTAAACCGTTTTTCATTCATAAACAGGGGGTTTGGCGGGTGCATGGAATCACTTTTGGGTCTTTGTTTGGAGGACAGGCTGCAGTTTTGGGTCTTTGTTTGAAGGACGGGCTGGCAGCCCGTCCTCCAAACAAAGATCCAAAAGTGATTCCATGCACCCACCAAACCCCCTGTTTATGAATGGAAAGCGGTTTACACACGACTCACAACTGCTGACGTTCGAACATATCCGGAACAAGTGCTTCACTGACGAATTTTGTTCGAATCACAACGCTATAAATGCTTCACCCACGTACTACAAATACAAATAATCGCCAACAGAACCTAAACACCTAACCTAACCTATCCTATGCCTATATATACACATTATGTTAATATATTATAATATTAATTTATACTTGAGAAAATTCCCGTTTTGAATGAACAGCAAGTTAAAATTTATGAATGCGTCTGGGGGGCGACCGCTGGATGTAATGGACTTGAGTCGAGGACGGGTTGCGGGCTGGTATGAAAGAATGAAAAACGGTTTACACATGACTCACAACTTCTGACGGTCGAACACTTCCGGAACAAGTGCTTCACTGACGAATTTTCTTTGTTGTTTTAGATTCAGCTACTCAGAAGAAAAAGTTCCAAGTAGCATGGGCTATGGTGAGCCCGTAGTGGACTTACCTGGCATAGGAGCGGGGCTGTACCTGCGAATTTTGATCAAACCACAATGCTATAAATGTTTCATCCACGTATTACAAATACAAATAATCGCCAATAGAACCTAAACACCTAACCTAACCTATGCCTATACATGCACAATATGCTAATATATTATAATATTAATTTATATTTGAGAAAATTCCTGCTTTGAACGAACAGCATGTTAAAATTGATGGATGTGTCTTTGGGGTCGACCGCTGGATGGAATGGACCCTGAGGATTGGTTGATAAATCATATATATTGTTTTCCTTTAATATTTATGTTATGGCAGAAACGCTCTGCGTATTAGTGGCTTTAGGCACTGTTCTTATCTTACTTCTGAATCCTCCACTATTCACGTATCGTATGATGTATGTACTCTTGCCTAAATAAATATTATTATTATTATTATAGCGATAGTGACCTTCAGGTAAATTATTATACAAATATCTTAAGAAATTTTGTCTTAACTAATGTCCTCATATTACATTTATTTCCAAAACACATTGTCATAATGCAATTCATGCGAATATAACATAAAATTAATTAAATAGATCGTAATGAAAATTCCAAGGGAAACTGAGCAGGAGGAGCTGATAAGAAGTGAGGTCAGCAAGTGGCCCAGCAACACCGGGTCTCGCCGCGGCCACACAACATGACGCTCTTCACCTGCAGGCTCGCTACCATGCTCAGAACAGGTAATGAGCAAAAGTATCTTAAAGGCAAGACAAATTATACCAGGGAAATTTAATATATTTCAAGAAAGTTAAGTTAGTGAAAGGAGTTTAGAGACTGTGGCCGTCACGTTTGGGATTTTTTTTTTCTGAAACGGGCGTTTTCATTTTGAACATACTGTAATTCACATTTTTAAAGCCTCTCATCCAAAGATGGACTTAGTGGGAAGAATAAGCAACTGTATTATTTGAGATATTTTGAACTACTTTGGCATACTGTACACTAGATCATTCGAATTTTAATTCTAAAACTGTTTGAGAGTTTGTTTTACAGTTGGTGGCTATTTTGTAGTGGTTATCACCTTTCACTACTGACACTTAACTAATATATATCAAGGGTTTGTTTAGCTTGGGTTGGGTCTAAGACCTAAGTAAATTTTTTAGCTATCTAGGTCATCGCTACTTTTGACTAAACCTAACTAAACTGAACCTAACCAAACTTAAGAAAAATAAGATGTATTTGTGTGTGCACGAGGAGTGATTCCATCATATTTTTTTAATGTTGGCACAGGTTTTTGATCATATTGGCTAGGTAAAGTAAGGTCTGAAAATTGGTTTATAAGTCATCTGAAGTATGAAATTCTTAGCATGCATTAGACCATGTTAGAGGGACATGGTTTACTTCATGCAGCAGACAGCTTGCAAATGCATTTTCAGACCTATAATCAATATAGGTATAACCAGTCTCGTGTATTTACCTAAATGTAGGTACAGGATGAGAGCGATGCTAGTGGTGTCCATCTTCTAGAACTCTGTCATACAACACTTTGAAACTACTGACGGTTTTAGCCTCCACCACCTTCTCACTTAACTTGTTCCAACTGTTTACTCTCCATTTGCAAGAGTGCACTTTTTAGTTTTTTTCAGCAGCTTTGTTTTCCGAGTTTGACCCCTATGTTCTCTTGTTCTTGAAGTTGCGGTTTTCAAAAATTCTGATAAAGAAACAAATCCACAAGGGCCGTGACGAGGATTCGAACCTAGTGGTTCGAATGTGACAAATCTAGGGGTGATTCTGGATAGAACCATAATGATTCCATAATGTGTCATGTGTATATTCCTGACGATGTCATGTTGTTGAAGGAATGTCAAAATATAATGGAAAACAGTAATTGTTTCTTCACCCTCTAGAATAAATGGCAGAAGGCATTTACATAAAATGGAAAATATCCATAGAAAAAATATTTTTAACCCCTGCACTGCGCACCTGTTTTTGGCAAAAACGTCAAAGTGCAATTGTTAAGGGCATATTTTTGTTGCTTTATAAATGTTCAGGTAAAGTTAATGTCAAAATGTTTCCAAACTAAACTATTTTCATTTCTAAACACAAAGGATAATGAAAACATTTAAAAACATTAAAATATAGCCTAATTAAAACAAAAATAAAACTCAAAACGACAATTGTTTGCTGGGGCAGTTGAGGGGTTAATAATGATGATGTGCTTAATTCCATTTACTGTAGTTATGAGTACAGTAACGGAATTTTTATTTTTTTGCAACTTTACAGTAGCAGTGTGTGGCTGTAAAAGGAGCTATACTGCAATCCCTCCCTCCCACTTGGAATCGGTGAGTTTTAACCCAAAAAAAGTGCTCATTCTAACCAAACTTTCAAGATATGAGTTTGAGAAGCGTCGTCACCCAGAACTGACCGAGAGGCAACTAGAGAAGTGTCTCCAAGCACGAGGATCAGACTATAATATAATGCTGTATCATCATTACATTCATAAGGTTAGTTTCAGATTATGCACTACTGTTAATTGTAGAGATGCTTGGGAGAAAAATAAAGGATAATAAGGGAGTGCAATAAGGGTGTTGCAGCCATTATTTAAGCAGTAGCGGTAAAGAATCTCTTACAATTTATTTTATCTGAATAAATGGCTGCATTCCTTTGATAAAATCAAAATTAATTACCATAGTTATGTTTGATGGAGCATTATTTAAATTTTGGAAGAATATCATAAGAAGCAGAACAATATTTGGGAAAGACAGTGGAGCTTGGTGATACATTTGAGATTGTAAATGAAGCTCTTGGTTAAGTGAATGTGGCATCACATCTTTAGACTGGTTACCAAGAACGATTAAGGAAGTAGACCAAAGCGAAATTGTGAAGACAGAATGAGGTTGCAGATATTAAATTCACCTCTTAATTTTTTTTTTTTTTGTAATATTATGTACAACATCTCTAGTCTCCCAAGTCTATAGATTCTTTTCATTCACTTAGCATAATGGAGATAAGAACTCTGGCTTGAAAAATACAAGATGATCCTACCAACTAGGTTGTAGTTTCTTACAGAATAATTATAATAATAATATTTTGTAAAATATGCATACTTAAGAGCATAATACAGAGGTATATTTGAAGGTACTGTACAGTGTACAGGGGTTACATATTAAATAAAGCCAATAATACACAATGTTTTGGGTAAAACTTAGAAAATTTGTTATAATTTGTTATAGGTATAATGGGTAAGCATTTGATACAGTATTAATGAGAAGTAAGCTAACACAGTTGAGATGTTTAAGAAATTTAGCAAATGGTATACAATATAAAGGTGATAATGATGATGGGCATAGATTCCTACATTATAGAATCTGTAGTTTTAGCAATTGTACAGATATAGTATTTAATATTATTTAAACAGCTAAAAATATGTAATGGTGCATTATTACTGTATTAAAGCCACTAAATTGCTAAGCATTTTGGGCATAACATAAAATAAATTGGTTAAAAATGTAAAGGTTTAATGACAAAAAACTTAATATACAAGAAGCCAGCTAACACATATGACTTGAATAAGAAATTTAGCAAATGATATACAGTACATTAATTAGATGACAATGATAAAAAGCATAAGACTACATTTTTGGTATATAAAATTTTAAATCACATCTGGGAGGTCATTTCACAATTTGGAACCCTTGATTTGCATAGCATTTCTGCTTTATGAATCTCTAGGAATATCACAAAGATATTTCTTGTCTAGTTCCCATGTGTTCTGTTATAGCCCTCTAGGAAGTGCTAAAGGTCAGGATAAGCACTGCAGTGCAGAGTTTTATAGCTATAATGGATCGAAGGATCTTGGAAGCATCTGACTGGTAACCAATCGAGTTTAAATCTCCAATAATTGAAGTGAACGTATGTTACTATCCACACTATTGTGGACTGCATTTTCTGTAGATTCTTGTCTATAATAAATATATGGAATACATGCTGCAGAGCTTAATTACAATTTGCGTAGATTACATTTTTAATGTCATGTTTTTCTAGGGCGTCGAAAACACGGTCAACAGTGTCTTCACTGCCGCTGGCATTGAGACAAAAACTGTGTATCGGTTTGACTACTCGGAGCCAAATATTGAGTGGGCTGACGCCATTGTGACTACAGGCGGTGATGGCACATACCTGCTTGCAGCCTCTAAAATTTTAGACAGAAAGAAACCTCTAATAGGTTTCAACTCTGATCCAACAAGATCAAGAGGGCAGTTGTGTCTTCCAAGAAAATTCTCTGTTGATGTCAAAGAGGCTGTTGATAAACTTTTGAAGGCAAGTGACTATTTTTTGTTCTCTAGATATTTGCATACTTAAAGGTTTTGTAAAAAAATATTATTTATTTTTATTAGATATTATTAGATATTTATTAGATATTTGTTTGTTTGTTTAGCAGTCTCCGTGGTGTAGTGGTAAGACACTCGCCTGGCGTTCCGCGAGCGCTATGTCATGGGTTCGTATCCTGGCCGGGGAGGATTTACTGGGCGCAATTCCTTAACTGTAGCCTCTGTTTAACGCAACAGTAAAATGTGTACTTGGATGAAAAAACGATTCTTCGCGGCAGGGGATCATAGGATTAAGGACTTGCCCGAAACGCTACGCGTACTAGTGGCTGTACAAGAATGTAATAACTCTTGTATATATCTCAAAATTTAGGATGTGAGGAAAACTATTGAAGTATATATGTACAAAGCTTTCATAAGAGTAAAGAAGAATCTATTAGAAATAACAGTAGACTCGAGTGATCAATTTGAAGTTGCATAAAAAAATCAAATGTATGTAATGAAGCACCCCGAGCTTAATTCTTGCTCCTCCAAGCACCGAACTCAGTTCTCACTCCTCCGAGCACCCCGGGGCTCAGTTCTCACTCCGAGCACCCCGGGGCTCAGTTCTCACTCCTCCGAGCACCCCGGGGCTCAGTTCTCGCTCCTCCGAGCACCCCGGGGCTCAGTTCTCGCTCCTCCGAGCACCCCGGGGCTCGGTTCTCGCTCCTCCGAGCACCCCGAGCTTAACTCTTGTTCCAGCAAGCCTTTGCCCTATGCAGCAGGCCTTTAAAACCTATCTGTCACCTGGCAGAACCAGAATCTGGCTCTGCATGACTAGGAGAGCAGGGAATCAGATCAAACACTAATCAAGGAAATATCCACCAGAAAACATAAACAACAAAACCAATGGTTTATTGAAGGAAATGAAACAACCCAAGAAGACAAATGATCATTGTTGCGGGGTAAAATTTTCTTGCTGTTCCTTAATTACCGGTTTATGCCTAATGTTGTCGCTTCATATTGTGCAACGTTAAGGTGTGATATAACTTGCAACATCATATGGCAAATTTGAATTGGCAATAGTAGTGTGGCTTGCAGATGGCAAATGCTGTAATGTAATATATTTTTTAATATGTGAATTAGAAACTGTAAAATGATTAACAAAGAAATTTGAGTACATTGCAGTACAGTATAGGGTATTACAAAGTAATGTACTGTGCAAGATCGCTACATTCTCTTATGTATTGTATAAATTTTTACATTGTTTTGTTTCGTGTTTGTTGATGAGTGCTATTGCTCATACAGCTACAGTACTTTTTGTCACTATTATATATATTATATCATATCCTAGAGTTTTTGTATAGGCAACATAATTAAAAGCAAGTCTCGCTGCTTGTGTAAAGTCGGGATTAGGTTAACAGTACTGTACTGCAAGAGCCGAGACATTATAGTCTTCCCTTTGTGTTGGTAATACATTAGACTGTGGTCATAAGGACCTATGAAGAGCCTGTCTTACTTAGTTTTCTGGGCGAGACGAGTGAAAGTATTGACATGAAGACTGGTTAATTAAGTTGAGGAGCCAGTGTGTTTTATTTAGTTCATTCTGATATGAAAATTTGTATTAGATACAAATATTTTAAAATTCCCCAAGCCAATTAAGAAAGGGCAAAAGTCTAAAATTTGTTTCACCTATATTTTATTAAAGTTCAATTTATTTCTAGTTCAAAGTTTTAGTGCAGAATTTTCCTGCTTGCAATACAGATACTGTACTGTACTTTGAGATTAAATATTTTAACAATTATTTAAATTAATATTTCAAATTATAATCAGCTGAAAATGATTTATCATATGATTTTATACTCTACAGGGAAAGTTTCGATGGACATTCAGGAGCAGAATTCGTGTCACCTTGATTGGTGAGGACATTTATAAACCACCTGTGGAGCTTAATAAACAGCAGTTACGTTACCATGAATACAGGTATTTTTCAGTGATGTTGGAAGGTCCAGGAATGTAGTACAGTAAAGGTATTAGGTTAAATTTCTTATAAATTAAAAGATCCTGACACACTATGTTTAATATAATTAGTTGTACAGTAGTATATTTTACAACATTTAATGCTTCAAATTGACATTATTATATACATTTCACTCCTTTCGTAAATTTTAATTTTTGACACTTAATGACTCGTTACCACTTTCAAATCTGTATATCATTTATGCTTATTCTCAGCCCACAATATTTTTTCAAGAGTGTGTTATGAGGCCCACCCTAGTTAAGTCAATTTGAAACAATACTGGTAGTTGTTTTAGTACCTGGTTTCATCTCGAGTGATGAATTGTGTAGGCAAGAGTCTCCTTGATTCATGGTGAACAGAGCAGGTCTTCAAGGGGTCATGCAGTGGGAATATGATTTCGGCTGTTTTCTATGGCACTTTCTTATACAGTTATCACACGTGGGATTTGATAAACTGTATAAGAAACCCCATATACCTTGTACAGAAAGGGAAACTACAAACTCCTTATACAGAATGTGGGGTTTGCAATGTTGGGCTGTACCTATAATGTCACTTTAGGCTATGGGAATGACTTGGTCAACTTCACTCCAGGGTATGGTTGACTTTATGGTGTTTACTGTAGTTTACCATAGGCCTGTTAGGTTTATACCGGGTCACCCCCATCCTCTAAGCCTACTACTGACTTCTCCCGGGATGCTACCCACAATAGTTGCCTAACTCACCAGTACCTATTTTTACTGCTTGGTTAACAGAGTCATCAGGTGAAAGGAAATATGGCTTAAATGCTTCTGTCCTGCTAAGAAAATCAAACCTGACCCCATTGGCCATGACCTGACTGCCAAGATATATTACAAGATATATACCAAGGTATAGACCAATGTATATACATATACCAATGTATTGGCCAAGATACTTGGCCTATTTCAAGGTATAGGCCAAGATATATATGTACAGTATTTCAAAGTATAAGCCAAGATATATATGTGCCGATGTGATGTTTGAAGAATGCTTTGAAATATCAACTTGAAGCCTTGTGCATGCATATATTATGGGGCTAGAAATGTCCCCAGTGTTTTTGGAGCCATATAGCTCCCCTGGATTTTTAGAACCATTAACATTGTCATAGGGTAAAGGGGAGAAGGAAACTTTAAAAAGTCATTTGAAAATTAACAAACATGGCTGCACTCAAATTTCTATTCACATTCCCTATTGCAAGGTGATACTGTCAGTTGCAAATGATACTCTTGTAGTTTTGTACTAGAGCAAAATATATATGGAATGGATTTTACCGTGTTCTTTACAATATCGTGTAATCATTGCACCCACACACTCTGTATGTCACCCTGTTTGTATCCTTAGATATGCTGGCACAGGACTGCATTCCTGGATCGCCCTCGCGCAATCAAAACATCTAATTTTATTTTGTGAGTTTGGTTTGTACAGGTATTGCAAATTTCGGAGTGATGATTCCATAAGCTCACGAAAGCTTATGACATGCGAGATATCTTTACACATAACATGAGAGTAACATGCAGGTACCTGGATATGGAGCCTCACCTACGGACAATACGAGATGATGTTCCTCGGTGCAGTGAGACTGGTATGGCAAGGAGAGTACTTCCAGTCTTGGCTCTTAATGAGGTTGGTGAATTGTGTTGTATGCTTATGTTATTCTTACTCCTTATGGATGGAATAGGTATATGGCTGGCAGGTGTGAAATACAGTTATCATTTAGAATGAAATGAGAACAAAATTTAGCACTATATATATATACAGTGTCACCTCGTTTAACAAGCGGCTCTATCTACGAGCATTTCAAGTAACGAGCGAGCCACTTGCAGAACATTTGTCTCTACTAACGAGCTATTCCTCGATTAACGAGCATTTCCGCTGGTTCTCGGACACCTTTTACGACAGTTTTGTTGTTGTTTCGCAAGACGAGTTTTCCACATGACGAGCTTGGTGCCGGAACGGATTAAACTTGTTAATCGAGGTGCCACTGTATATATATATATAAAATATATGTAATAATACTGTATGTATTTATACACCTTTTACATCAGTATAAAAAATAAAACATGCATTTTGCATAACCCCAGGCATATACCAGGCATTTTGCAAAAACCTGCCTCTTGGATATTCTGTATATTAAAATTTGTGTAACTGTCATTGCATGGAACTGTATTAAAATATTATTCTGGAAGGGCCCCTCAGTTGCTTTCCTGTGCTAAGTGCTGGTTAAGCCATGCCTTGGGATTTGGAACCGGTCATCCAATACCCACCATTACCACAAGCCAAGACCTGGATCTGGCTTGCCTTATGAGGTAAAGGGAGCTTGAAGATCAGAGATCTACCCAAACCAAGTAAAAAAATCTGTGATCATAAGTGCAACAAAACGAGCAATTACCTCGACGAAATTAGGGACCCAAAGCTAATGATGCAAATTATTATTACCATGATATTAATATACCAACCATGTTGTGCCAGACTGCCACCAGGTGGCAGCCCAAGTTATGAGGCTGTAGCTAGCCAACATTTGGCTAATGATCGTTTACCTTCTGGTTCTTAATTTCATTAAAGTGGTGGCTTGTTTTGTTTTCAGGTTTTTTCTCAAGTTTTGTGTAGATCTTGGATCCCAAGATCTCTTTGTCTTGTGAACGAGCCAGATTGTGGTTCTGGCTTGCCGTGAGTAAGAGTGGGTCTTGGAGACCTGGTGCTTCTTCCTAAGACTTGGTTTGGTCAACACTCGGCACAGGGAAGCTATACTTAGGGGGCCCCACCAGAAAACGGTGTTCCATTACATACAACGCTTGATTTATTTCTAAATTTGAATATGGATATATTTGACCTTCTCTGTAACTATCACTAACTGGAATACCTATTGTAATAGGTTTTCTGTATTATCAACTCTGTGCTTTCTCTCTTTCCTGAGGCCCAGAATACTGTATATTAATACAATTAATTTATTGTAGTTGGTAAATTGTTGGAATTATTGATTTAGCTAACCAATGTCTTATTAATTGAGAAGATTTTTCTCTATGTTCTCTGTTATAATTTTAGTCAAAAACATGACAGCTCCTTTCTTGAAATAGAAAAGCAAAATATATTGGTGTTGGTTTTATGATCAAATTTTTTTTTTTTTTTTTTAACTTTGATCTAAAGTGTTTCTCTCATTTCAAGGTTCCAGCTCAGTAGGTCATAAACTTTGCCCATTTGTTTCCGCCTCTGCCAGGAATCGAACCCGGGCCATTAAACCTATGACACCCAAGCGTTATCCACTCAGCCGCGAGGTCCCCCCACTTCCCCGGGCGAAGCGCATAATTACCCAAGTGTAGTTAAAGGATGAGAGCTACACTCATGGTGTCCCGTCTTCCCAGTACTCTTTGTCACATAGCGCTTTGAAACTACTAACGGTTTTGGCCTCCACCACCTCACATAATTTGTGCCAACCGTCTACCATTGTTTGCAAAAGAAAATTTTATAATAGTTTTTCGGCACCTCTGTCTTCTTAGTTTGGATCTGTGTCCTATTGTTCGTGAAGTTGCTGGTTTCAGGAATTCCTCCTTGTCAATTTAGTTATTCCTGTTAGTATTTTCTAAGTGGTGATCATATCACCTCTTTCTTCTGTCTTCTAGTTTTGGCATGTTTAACGCCTCTAGTCTCTCTTCGTAACTTGTTTTTCAGTTCCGGAAGCCATTTTGTAGCATGTTGCACCTTTTCCAGTTTATTGATGTGCTTCTTGAGATTTGGGCACCATACAACTGCTACATATTCCAATTTTGGTCTCACAAAAGTCATGAACAGTTTCTTTAGTATTTCACCATCCATATTATTAAAAGCAAGTCTGAAGTTGGAAAGAGAGGCATATGCTCCTCTCACAATGTTCTTTGTGTTCCTCTGGTGACAGCTTACTATTCAAAACCACCCTTGGGTTTCATTCTTTACTCGAGTTCTGTAATTCCTTTCCACATAATTTGTAAGTTGTGTTTGTGGTCTATTTTCACCAATTCAACATTCCATAACATGGCATTTATTTATGTTGAATTCCATTTGCCACTTAACGCTCCAAGCACTTATTTATCTAGATAGATTTGAAGGGCATTACAATCGTCTGCGTCTCCTATCTTCTCCAGTATCTTAGCATCATCCGCAAGCTTGTTCATATAGTTCTGTATTCCTTCTAGTAGATTGTTTATGTAGATGATGAACATTACTGGTGCATGAACTGAACCCTGTGATACTCTGCTAGTAACACTCTTCCAGACAGATACATTGTCTCTGATTACTGCCCTCATCTGTCTTGTCAGTTAGAAAATTTTTGTCCATGTAAGAAGTCTCCCTGTCATTCCTTCAGCATGTTCCAGTTTCCAGAACAGCCTCTTGTGTGGGATTCTGTCAAAATCCTTATTTAGGTCCAGATAAACAGTCTACCCAACCACTTCTTTCTTGTATTATCTCGGTAAGTAAATTTGTTACACAGGATCTTCCTGTTTGAAAACCATACTGTCTGTCTGTTATTATGTAATTACTCTCATTATGTTCAACCCATTTGGCTTTATCTATTGTTTCTAGAGTTTTGACTACCACGCTTGTTAGTGATAGGGGTGTATAATTTAGAGGTTCCTCTCGACTACCATTTTTATAGATTGGTACTACGTTTGTCTTTTTCCATAACAGATTGGTACTATGTTTGCCTTTTTCTATAACAGATTGGTACTATGTTTGCCTTTTTCCACATATCTTCTAGGATTCCTGTGCACATGGATGTCTGGAATATTAATTGGAGTGGAATGCTCAGCTCAGTTGCACATTCTCGCAGCACCCAAGGTGAAACTCCATCAGGTCCAACTGCTTTATTTCTTCCTAACTCCTCGAGTAATTTTTTCAATTTATCTTGAGATATCTCTGTGTATTCTATGGCATGCTCTGGAATTGGTATTGGGTCCGGTTTTATGAAATCCTCATTTTGTACGTGCATACATGCGAGCAGTGCTCCAGGGTAGCTAAGACATGCTGGTGGTTGTCGGGTGTGTGGATCAGAGGGGCAGGGGGGGAAGGTAGCTGCCAAGTCATAATAGGTGTACACTACCATTCTTAACATCAGCTTAATCTGGTACATAACCTGTTTTTTATTGTGCTTCCTGCTGAAGTACACGTACACAGTTTCAAGGCAGTCAGTGTTATTCTTTAATTATTGTGTTGCTTTATCTTGCTCTCTAATAATAGATTACATAATTGCTTCAGAATCTGTCCTTTCCTGTCCAACAAGCCAATAAGATGAGTGTTGTGTAGATAGATATTTTTGTAAACCTTTTCCTGTATATATAAATTTGTATTCGTGTATTTTTGGTCCTCATAATATGAGAGAAAGCATATATAGAGTACAGTATATGTATTTGTTGAAAACACTTATTTTTCTTGGGTAAATGCCAGTACTATATTAGGAACTTGAATAACTATGAAGAGAGCAAATGTCCACTTGCAAGCATTTATTTACAGATCTTGAAAATTGAGATGAACTTTTAGTTGTTGTGGCCCACAAATGACAATATGTTGAATAATTCATTAATATGATCAGTAAGGCAGAAAATAATCTGAATGAAAATACATAAAATACATACTGTATAGCATTTCCTAGTAGACTTCTTTTGCCTTCTTCTTTTGTATTATTAAAATAATACTTAATTAAAATATTTATTATACAGTAGTTAGGAAATTTTAAGTCGGAAAGTTATTGGGTTTGTAATCCAGACTTGTAATAATTGTTGTTATACAGAAGTTCACACCACTTGTGTGCCATACACAAAACATGTGACGTTCATTTTGTTTGACCCCTGAGTCTCGTAAAGCTGGATCTGAACTCGAATGAACTGAATAAATATTTACAATAGACATTATCATTTTGGATTCATTTCTAACAAGCTATAAAGGTATCTGGCAACAATTTATATAATAAACACAATTAAGACAGAATGAAGATCAAGGTCTGACAAGCTAATCCGACATCATTCCAAAGGAGAGCAGTCATGCACAGAGTGCACACTCTGTCCTCACTTAATAATTTGCTCTGTTGACAGAACTCTCCAAACTGAGCTGATCAGAGTGCACCCTTGCCATCTTGGTTTCCTCATTGCTAAAAACCCATTCTATTAAAATAAGAAAGAGCTGTGCAATTATTTATTATACGAACCTGACAGAAATGGTGTTTTCAACAAATTCATAAGTTGATAGTAGATGTAGATTTTTATCATGGCAATTTCATTGTGATATAACACTTAAATTGAGCACTGTTAACTGTATGTGATGCTGACGAACCATTATACAGACCACAGACACAAGGTTAGTGTTTTTTATCGAGAATTGATGTTGCTGATCTTGCTTATGCACTGTTTGCAGTGAGTGACATATGTTTCCTCATAGGTTTTCATAGGGGAGTGTGTGTCTGCCAGAGTGTCATATATGGAGTTGAGTTTTGACGCTGTCCAGGGGATCAAGCAGAAGTGTTCAGGACTAATTGCCAGCACAGGTCAGTAAGTGTATGAATGTACTGTACTGCTGTTGCTTTGTAGGATGATGGAGAAAATGGTAAGATGATGTTGTAAAGGTCTAGTTATAGAAAGTGAATGTTTATTATATACTCGCACATTGGCACATAATTCTTGTTTGTATTAAGTTTGTTGATAAAACATATATTGCATTTTTCTGATATTGCCCCATTTGGTGGCTCCCTGTTTCCCTTAGAGCCACCGAGGGGACCCATCAAAAAGAGGCATTTCATTTCATTCAACGCTGATTTTTTCTGACCTTCCTTAAGTAAATTATACAAGACCTGATCAGAATACTTAACAAAACATAATGCTCTGAGCTCCGGAAGAACTAGTAATCTAGCAAATGATATTGTTCCCTATCAAATGGGGCATGGAACTTATTGGAATGTAGAACTCGAATCCAACCCTTGGTAATTTCTCGTCATAATACACACAGTACCTTCAAACCACTTAAAACTAAAAGAAGTAATTCCTGGCAACTTTGATAGGGTCAGAAACTATCAAACCATCCTCAGCAAACTACTGCTGCTGCCGCCGCCACTATATGGCAGCACCTCTGACTTTAAGGGTTAAGGAAGAGGGGTCTGGTCAAATTGTATGTTGACATTTCACATTCTGTCAGCTCCGTACACATATAACCACCTTCCTTCACATGTAAGGTGCACATTATATTAAAGTAGAGTTTTTTAATTATACTTAACATTGCTGGGAGTTCAGAAACAATTATAATAATGTGGTAAGTAATTTTTCAAATTTGTGGAGCAGCTTATCAAGACAGTAATTATAAAATAATTTTATTTCCTTTATGTTTTACTAAAACCAAATTTGTCTTTGTTGAGCAGAGCCATTCCTGGGCATGAAGTCTTGTGCTTTTTTATGATTATTTCAACCCCTTACATGAGTTAATGACTAAACACAGTGATCAACACCTTTTGACAGCTTGCAGGTTTGTCTTGTGAATGAACCTAGTGGAGACTTGGTTGACTGCACAATTTGGCATTGTATTTGAACAATGATTGCTAGTAGATTGTGGTGAATAATAAGGTGTAATAAATATACAGTTATATTTATATGCAAAAGACATTAAGGGGAAACACCCAGGGATACGGCCTAGGAAACAGCCGTGCACACAGCTTGAGAAGGGACACCTTATTATTACCCAAACAGCAAAACCTAGGCTTAGCTGGGCACACTCGATACTATACGAAGGTGGCTACATAGACCCAGGCACGCATCCTGGAACTAACCAGGCCAATAGCCCCAGGAGCAGCAGGGCACACAGCCCCAGGAACAGCAGGGCACACAGCCCCAGGAACAGCAGGGCACACAGCCCCAGGAACAGCAGGGCACACAGCCCCAGGAACAGCAGGGCACACAGCCCAAAATTCAAATTTTGTGCTATATGGTCTACTGTTGCAGCCACAGAATACACATTTCAGTACATTAAAAAAAAAAAAAAAGTCCTCCAGTTTTGGGTAATTGGTTTTTGTGTATTACGATCTACAGAAAATGTTTCCTCTACCACTGTAAGCACAAGCATGTACATGCCTGGGTGATTGTGCAGCATGCACAGGGAGCTGCTCCAACTCTGCATTAAAAATATATATAATTATTCAATCTGCATTTTCTTTATACCATGTGATAGGGCAATTATTGGTGAGTATTATGGTACTAAGCTTATAAATTTATAATAATTTTAAGCGTATGCCCAAAATAGAAAGACCATAAGATATGCAGGCGATGAGTCACAATAACGTGGCTGAAGTATGTTGACCAGACCACACACTAGAAATTGAAGGGACGACGACGTTTCGGTCCGTCCTGGACCATTGGATCGACTTGAGAATGGTCCAGGACGGACCGAAACGTCGTCGTCCCTTCAATTTCTAGTGTGTGGTCTGGTCACCATAAGATATTTCCTATGCAATGGTACACCTATTCCCACCAAGAATGACCTAGCTATATACGGTGATATTATATTTTACGGTGATTTGTTTGCCTTAGGCAAACAAATTACCGTAAAAATTTAATTATTGACTGGACTAGAATCTGTTTAGATTTTGTGAATTTGCTGCTGCAGGGTCACACTGTACTTTGAATATAAACTATTACAATTTCTTTATTTTAATTTATCATTATTATTTATTTTGTAGTATGAGTCTAATATTTTATTGTATTTTGCACTACTGCTTTAAAATTCAATGTGATATAAATTATTTATCAATCAAATAATTATTGCAGCAGCCAATTTTCTTCCCTGGCTCACTTTTCTCTTGACTTTTCTTGCAAGAATTCACTTTAATAATTACATGTACCAGTTATGTTCATATAACTGGTACCTAACTATAACTGGAGTTATATAACTGGTTCATATAACTCCACTACCAGTTATGTTCATATTGTAGCAGTCTTTTCTTGCAAACAAAACTTTTACCCATCTTAAATATATATATATCTACCATAAGAACTGACATCTACATCAGTTTTCAAATACTCCAGATATTCCTGTCATGCACTAAGTTCACACCCTTCTTTATCATGAGCATGGTCTCCCTCGAGGTATGTTATCCCTTGTATGATATAACATACACTGGCATAGTGCACAACAGAAGCCATGAGCAGATGACGCAAACTTCCTATACTCCTACGTGTACACCAAGTTCTTTTACCATTATTGCCTACATGTGCTCTGCTACTTCCATAAAACTTCGTCGCTGAATTTAATAATATTCCACGTATTTATCACCTGCTCAACTCTTTCTACAGACTTCCATTGTTTTCTATACCATATGTTTTATCTAGGTTCATAAAGGCTACATACACTTTATTGTTTTGTTCATAATAATAATAATGGCAATATGGTGGGATTCAGGTTTCAAACTCTGTTGGTTGTGCTCATATGCTGTATTGCCTCCTCAGTGGAAATATCTTCATCACTTAACCAACTTTATTCATAATTGGCCAGTTCTTGGATATTTTATGTTTTTCAATCTGTTTCTTGTTTAATGCTTTACAGATTGCACACAGACTAATGCTCCAGTAGCTAGTAGTTCTTGCACTCGTTTTCTTTTTCCTTATATGTAGGGGTATAACCCAGCCTCTTTCCAGTTATTTGGTATTTGGCTACTTTAAGTCCTTGAGTAAGTCCTCCTCTTTGCCCATGAAAGTCTTATTTTGAAATATTAATGACATAAGTGTTATTGTTTTATGCGTTTTTGGATGATTAAAAACATGGTGTAATTTTGTATTCATTTTGGATAGTGAATTATTAAGAGCAGTTGCCTAATTAATATTAATTATTCAACAGGAACTGGATCAACTTCTTGGACATATAATGTAAATAAACTAACAGAGCAAAACATGGAAGAGATCTTGACCATTGTTAAAGAAGAAACTGGCTTTAAAATTCAAGACCATGATGAAACCTTTGTAAGCAAGATAACCGATAAATTCAATGAGTTGCTTATTATTGACCCAGGTAATACTTGTCTGTTTATGTAGTTCTGTGTTTACATATTTAGTGTTTACATAGTTCTATCTTTTTGTGTAACAAGGCATACTTGTATATTTGTGTACTTCAATATACTGTGTGTGCGCACATGTACCTAAATGTGGCACTTCCATTCATCTTCTTTATAAATTGCGCTACTGATTGCAGTGGTCTTGTAATGATGGAACACTGGTTTCCACATGTAAGCTCTGGATTTTTGAAAGACCAGAAGTCCTGAACCGAATCCCAAACCAGTATGATGTGAAGACACAAAGGGTCAAGGTTGAACCTGATAAATATGAGAAGCATTCAAAGACCAATTTAGACCACTAGAGATGAGTGTAATTTGAGAAGTGTCAGCTTATGTGAAAAGACTTTAGTAAGGTAAGGGTTTTGGTACATTCAACATGTAAGTGATAGGCATGTGCACCCAAAATAAGTGGGTAACGAATATGCACCCTAAAACGTTTGCATTATTGTATCTGTAATAAGTTTGCTCCTATAAAACATTAAGGGCAGACAGTGGACAATGTTTGCTAGTAAAAAGTAATAGCACAATTTTTTGTATTAAAGAATTTGGAGCCATTCTTAATAGTCTAGGGTGAAATACTGTTGATTGCAAGCTGTAGCAACAGCCGATAACGAGGTCGTCAACACAAAGCACGGAGTAAAATACAGTCTAGAGAGAGGAGGGTAGACCATTAATATCAATTATTAGAGATTAGTGCTGAAAACCTGGGAAATTATCTCATATTAGTTATTAAAGTCAGAAAATGGTACTGTTCCAAAATGTACTTTAAAGCTACAACCAAATGTGAAAATTTTAAGGAATACCCAGTACGGTAGTAACAAATTGCCTCCGAGGTCAAAAGATTTTAACTGGGCAAATATATTATATTTCTAGATAGTGTCATGCTTTTTCTAGATAATAAAATTTGTTACTGATTTCACTACAGAAATAGTGTTGTGAATGTAAATTTCTAAATCTCCCAGAATTTTTGTGCTGCAGCGCTCATGGAAACTGAACTGGGAGGGAAAGAGGCAATGATTGTTAAAAAACCATGTACTGCACACATTAATTCTTTGTTCAAAAAGTTTACAAATGCAATTAGTAAGTGCAATGGGGCAAAATACCTTGTTTCATGTTCCTTAATGGGAAGGACAATTGCATTGCACCAGTTCTCTGCCCCTACCTAGTTACAGTATGAATATATAATATTTTTCCTATACTGTAATGTGGTACATTAATTGGCATCAGCCCAATGACAATGGTCCAAAAGTGGGAATCGAGGATAATTACAATGGACACATTGCCTCAGCAATAATGAAGCCAAGAGAAGTTTAGGAATGCGGTGGAAGATAGTGAGCAAATAGAATACCGTTTATTTTGGAATAGCGAGGTTGCGTATTGGCCATACTCGCTTAACCCATGGTCACTTGATGGAGCGCCGCCCTGCTCCTTATTGTCCTAGTTGCATTGTCCCTCTTACGGTCGTGCATGTCCTTTTTGAATGTCCTGCCTTCCAGGACGAGCGTGTGTCTTGCTTTCCGACCGCCCCTCGCGGTCACCTGTCCCTCGATAGAATTCTTGGTGACTCGGATACTTTTGATATCGTTCGCCTTATGCGTTTTTGTTCTCGTATTGGCATCCTTGGTGATATTTAGCGCCCTCTGATTATTTTGCGTATTTGATGGTGCTACATAGCCTTCCCGGTTTGGTGCCTTCTTTTGATAATTACTTACTTACTTATTTTGGAATATACAAGCAGCATTGGAATAGATATTCAAAGGCAAGGAAAAGTAAGAGAACACCAATCCCGAATAAAAGGGCAGTGGTGCTAGGATGATCATTAAACAGCTGACATTAAATATGTATATCCATGGAACTGTCCAGGACAAGTGCCAGGCATCGGTTCCCGGAGACATACAAGATAGAGGAATTAGAAATTAAAAGCTAGAGTTCCGAGATATTAGTAACAGCAGCATGTATTCCATTAAATAAGAGACATGTTTGGAAAGAACAGGAAGAGAACAAAATGAAAAGTGAAAAATAGATATGCGAGCAAGTAGAAATTAGGGTCAACTAGAGTATGGTTCGGAAAAATTTGAATGTTTTGGCTTAGGCAAGTTTAACAGAGAGAGGTGTTGTAAAATGTAAAGATGGAAGTGTACATGTAGAAAGAGTTTGCTACAAAGAGAATGCTGGAGAGAGCTCATGTAAAGAAAACAGAGTCCAGCTTGTGACAAAGTTGAGGAACAAAAGTAATGAAAAGGTTAGGAAGGGTATATTTCTTACCCAATAGAGGTAGGAGTGTTGTTGGTTTCCCTCTTTTTAGCTGTAGGAGAGAGGTCCAGGATGATGGTGTCAATGGTTTCAGATTGAGGGAAATGTTGGGAGGGGTTGGAAAGGGGTCAAGTATCAGCTGTATGTATATAGTAAGACAGCTAAGAGAAATCTGGGGTTGTTGATTTGTGGAACCAATTACCGCGTAACGTGGTGGAGATGGGGTCCCTTGATTGTTTCAAACGTAGGTTAGACCTGTATGTGAGTGGGATTGGGGGGTTATAACTAGGAGCTGCCTCGTAATGGCCAATAGGCCTTCTGCATTTACCCTTATTCTTAAGTTCTTAGCTTGCCCATTTCATAAGAACATAAGGGACCTGGGCATGTGGACAGATTTCTATGAAACTTTTTACCAGGCATGGAAGTAAGGTACTAAGATTTGGGAAAACTGAAGTTGTGGCAACGTAAGTAGGAGGGCTAGGTAATGTTTGTGTGCACATTCACAACCAGTAGGAGGGCTAGGTATTGTTTGTGTGCACACTCACAGCCAGTAGGAGGGCTAGGTATTGTTTGTGTGCACACTCACAGCCAGTAGGAGGGCTAGGTATTGTTTGTGTGTGCACTCACAACCAGTAGGAGGGCTAGGTAATGTTTGTGTGCACATTCACAACCAGTAGGAGGGCTAGGTATTGTTTGTGTGCACACTCACAGCCAGTAGGAGGGCTAGGTATTGTTTGTGTGCACACTCACAACCAGTAGGAGGGCTAGGTATTGTTTGTGTGTGCACTCAACCAGTAGGAGGGCTAGGTAATGTTTGTGTGTGCACTCAACCAGTAGGAGGGCTAGGTAATGTTTGTGTGCACATTCACAACCAGTAGGAGGGCTAGGTAATGTTTGTGTGCACACTCACAGCCAGTAGGAGGGCTAGGTAATGTTTGTGTGCACATTCACAACCAGTAGGAGGGCTAGGTATTGTTTGTGTGCACACTCACAGCCAGTAGGAGGGCTAGGTATTGTTTGTGTGTGCACTCAACCAGTAGGAGGGCTAGGTATTGTTTGTGTGTGCACTCACAGCCAGTAGGAGGGCTAGGTATTGTTTGTGTGCACACTCACAGCCAGTAGGAGGGCTAGGTATTGTTTGTGTGCACACTCACAGCCAGTAGGAGGGCTAGGTATTGTTTGTGTGCACACTCACAGCCAGTAGGAGGGCTAGGTATTGTTTGTGTGCACACTCACAGCCAGTAGGAGGGCTAGGTATTGTTTGTGTGCACACTCACAGCCAGTAGGAGGGCTAGGTATTGTTTGTGTGTGCACTCACAACCAGTAGGAGGGCTAGGTATTGTTTGTGTGCACACTCACAGCCAGTAGGAGGGCTAGGTATTGTTTGTGTGTGCACTCAACCAGTAGGAGGGCTAGGTATTGTTTGTGTGTGCACTCAACCAGTAGGAGGGCTAGGTATTGTTTGTGTGTGCACTCACAGCCAGTAGGAGGGCTAGGTATTGTTTGTGTGTGCACTCACAACCAGTAGGAGGGCTAGGTATTGTTTGTGTGCACACTCACAGCCAGTAGGAGGGCTAGGTATTGTTTGTGTGTGCACTCACAGCCAGTAGGAGGGCTAGGTATTGTTTGTGTGTGCACTCACAGCCAGTAGGAGGGCTAGGTATTGTTTGTGTGTGCACTCACAGCCAGTAGGAGGGCTAGGTATTGTTTGTGTGTGCACATTCACAGCCAGTAGGAGGGCTAGGTATTGTTTGTGTGTGCACTCACAACCAGTAGGAGGGCTAGGTATTGTTTGTGTGTGCACTCACAGCCAGTAGGAGGGCTAGGTATTGTTTGTGTGCACATTCACAGCCTCCTTTTACATCAGTGGTCATCAAGGTGACTTCCGTAAGCTGACCACAACGTAGTGCAGTAAAATACTCATTTATTTTTAGTGCAATATTTAGTTTTACAAAAATTAGTGTTGTCAGAGTTTATCATGTGTAGATGTATGAAGTTTTTTTTAGATAGGTTTTTGTTTCCTCCATTACTATTATGTTTATGCTACAAAAATCTGAATATATGTACATCTGCAATTTTTATTTGTTAAATTATATTGAGAATATGAAATATTTTTAAGCTAAGCATATTTTTAAATGAGTAATATTCCAATGGTACATAGAAAATGGTTCATTATATATCATTTTCTGTTTTACTAATTACACTTTATAACAAATATATTTTGTAGACATTTTTCAAATTAATTTGAATACTGTAGTTAAATGTTTAATTAAAAACCCTTATAGCTTCACATTGCATTAAGAGTACCATCATAATCAAACTAATTTAGTTTGAGTTTTTAATTTTTTCTTAAGCAGCATTTGAAATATGTCCCATGGCATCAAATAAAATTGTATTTAATATGATTGTCTTGTGGCTCATTTCAGAGGTGGCCAGGATGGTATATACTATTCGTGACCAACTGGTTTCATCACCCAAGTACCGCAAGTGCATCAAGCCTCGAGGATTTGCTAAATCTATAGATGTAAAATCAAGGTGCTTTGATGCTTCCCTGGTCATAGATGGAGGTCTGTCCTTTACGTTCAATGATGGAACAAGAGCACTGCTTGAAATCCATGATGAGGATGCTCTTCGTACTGTCACCTTACATGATGACTATACAGAACTATCTTTTAAACATTAGTGAGGTTGGTCAACATTGCCCATTAATCTTATTTAATCATGTATGAGTATATATGAGTATAGTTCAAGTAGTTTGCATGTTTTAAGATAGTTTAATTATTTCACAATAAAACAATCTTTAAAACTTGAGTATTAGTACTGTAGTTAAAATTCCTTATATTATCACATTGGTGGATCATTCTTTCAATAATTGGGAAGACTTTCATACTTTATTTATTGCACAAATATATTTCTTTGTAGTAATATATGGTAAAGATTTATGTTCTTGATACAAAATATTAATCTAGTCACTTCTTCCTTAATTTACACATTAACAATATAAGATAAAGGCTTGTTTCTTGCTAGAGAAGAAATTTTAATGTAGTCCCTGTGTTGAAAGTAAGATTTAAATTTTCTTCGAGTACAATGTAGTTTTGAATTTATTCTGTGTATTTGTTTTGTGCTCATGTATTTCATGCTTCGTTAGGTTGGGTCTTGGATGCAATATATCAAACATTTTATATTTTCATCTATCCTTGGTATAACAGCTATATATTTTCCCTCTCACCCACAAACTTGTCAGGGTTATACCAGTTTGGATGGGTATATATTTCCATGAATACATTGAGCATTATTAGTCATGTCTTGAGATTAAATTATATGACTTGTATGAAAGGTGTATATAATTTTTGTATAATGTCTCTTATAGTAATATATAACAAAGGGTAGTTGAAGGCAATATAAAAGTGTAAATGTAGGAACCTCAAGAAAATACGGCACTCAGGGAATGCTTTTCTCAAAGCCGAAGGGGCTCTCACTAGTACCAGTCGTGGTACCACTAATTTATAAATACGTATATCTTCTTGTATTCGACAGTTAATTTTATCGACTTATAAATACACTATACAAAAATGGATGTAAATATCTGTATAATGATCATATTTTGATTCACCAGTTCTCTTAGTGCTTCTGTAAGGCTTTGGGATATTTCTTTAGAACTGTTACCCTCTTTGTTAGATTTTTCTTTAATCAAAATATGAATTTGAATTAATGCAGCTGTATACATATTTATTGGAAGCAAAGGTGTTATTGAGCATGTTGTATAGAAATTGTTACTTGGAACAAATTGTGTCCATTTAATGTCACAAGGATGTATTGTACTGTATAGTATTTAGCAATGTCATCCAGAGATAGTAATTTGCTAATGCTTCTATATTACTGTAAAGTTTATATTTAAAGAGTATAGAAAGTTGAAAATTGTCCAATGAATAGTTGTTTAATAATGTAATATACAAGACACCAACCATGTTTAAATGTAGCCATAGCAAGAATTTGGTACCAGATTTGATTGAGAGTTTTAAATGGCTGGACTCGGAGTTCAGATAAGAGTTTGTAGTGTACTTGACCAGCACAGCCTAATATTATGAGGGCATACATTAAAAAAATAAGTTTACATAAAGAGGGAGAGGCAATATATGGAGAATATTCTCTCATCTGATACCAAAGTGTATTTGGTACCCAACTTTCTCAAGGATTTGATTCCCTAGTGTTGTCATAGTATTTATAGTTTGGCTATAAACCTCTGAAAGCTTACAGTACCCATTGTCTTTCGTTCTCTCCTATCCAAAGCTTTTACATTGAATTGGATGTCTTGCCACTGCAGGATTGTCGAGATTGTTACCTCGCGAGGTCTCTGCAACATCCTCATTCTCGTTTTTGACATGCTTTAGCTGTTGTCCCTCTAGTGGGCCCCTGTTCCCTTTCACCACCCTGTTTTCTGTTTGGATATCTTGTTTTCAATCCTCCCTTTCAATTTGTGTTGACGTCTCTCCTCATATCGTTCCATCCTAAGCTCCTTGGTGGTTCACACTTGTGAGGTTTTGCAAGACCAATGGGTATGGAGCAAAGAATGAATGAATGGGTAAAAATCTGAAAAGGAAATGCCTTTTCATGAAATAGGAAACTCGACCTGCTTAAATCTGCTAGAGATGAGAAACAGCCAATACAGGATTTCTACTATCACAGGATATATAGGGTTAAATGATTCCAAAGCTATGAGAGCACTACGAGAATCAACCACTATGGGCAGAAAGGCAATCGACAAAGGGCATACGAGATAGCTTACTGTTCAGTCATGAAGATGTTAGCCTCCAGAGGCAGGCAGCCCATATAGGTTTGGTCTGGAAAGACAACAGAGTATCCAATACTGCCATCAGACTTAGATCCATCCGTGAAGAGGGCAACAGAACACAAGTGCAAAGAAAACATTTTCCAGGAAAAGGCATTTCAGAACATAGGCCACCTCATACACTTATTCTCGTATTGGCATCCTTAGTGATATTTAACACCTTTTGCGACTTTGATGGTGCTACATAGTCTTCCTCCTTTTGATAATTGCTTACAGTTCTTGTCAAAAGTATGCCCCAACTTGCTCAAGGTAGCATGCACTTATGGCAAAAAAAGATATGCACTGGGTATTTCACACAAGACTACTTCCATCTCAAATATATGATATTACTGTGTCGCTTGTTCCCTGAGCCACACAGCTGAGGCGCTTAGTGTCTCCCAGGCATCCATAGTGAGCAGTTGTGTTATGCATCTTACTCTGGCACTTTCCCATGATTGCAGTTAAGTGTTGTTGGTTGCACAGTGAAATCACATTACCATCATGTATCAATAAGAAAATCAGTACGAGCCTGGAGGAGGATTCGAACCTGCTCACTTGGTACACTCAAGCTGGCATCCTCAACCATGACACACACAGCAATGCAACCTGGGATTTGGCTGAATCCACTGTGACGGTAACGCGTTGGTGTTCGGCTGTTTAAGGCTAGGGGTATGGCCTCGTCACATAGTTATAAAAAAAAATAGAAAAACTGGAACTTCGTCTGTGGTAAGGTAAGGAGAAGACACACAAAACACAAGTAAAACTTTAACAATGAAATTTTAATTACGTTAAATAAATCAAAACATGAAAATAATGCACAAACAAATATGTATAATAAAATCAATCAATCAAAATAATAAGAATACTTAAATGACACAATGAAAAGTTACGTTAAGGCAAAATAACAAGAAGTGCAATACAACAGTAAGTGGGAGGTGCTGGAATATTGGCTTAAAGCCACCACCTCTCTCAGTACACGCTAACGTCTAGCTGGGAGGAGTGCTGGCTACGAAAGCACGGAACATTCTGAAGACTGATGTTGGGGCGACCCCAGACATCGGGTAGTATTGGGGGCGAGTGCAGGTGCAGCCAGACCGGCGACCAATCAGCGGAGCCGTAGCGATCAACGGGTAGTTTGGTGATTTGGGTCCGAACAGGTGGCGGGCTGCATACGTTTCTGCTCACCCTTGCAAGCCTTGCTGGTGCTGGTGTTGTTGTCGTTGTTGGACATTTCTTCCATAGTCTTTTTATATAATTGTGAAGACGTAATTTTGGAGGGAAGAGCAGGCTCAATCTCTTGAAGGAGATTATCGTCACAACTCTCCCCCGAAGCCTGCGGTTCTGGAAGAAGTACGTCGTTATGTGGTGGAGTAATGGATGGAGTCGCTTCTACTTCATAAACTCTGGAGAGGGCATCGGCTATGGTGTTGTCAGAACCCTTGATATAGCGGATCTCCAGGTTGAAGTCTTGTAAATACAGAGCCCATCGTAGAAGACGCTGGTTGGTGAATTGGGCTTGATGTAGGAAGCGGAGAGGGTTGTGGTCTGAGAAGATGGTGGTAGACCTGGCGCCTTGTAGGTACGGAGCGAAGTGTTGGAGGTTCAGGACGATGGATAGTAGCTCCTTTTCAATAGTGCTGTAGTTCCTCTGGTGTGGTTTCAGTTTGTAGCTGTAGTAGCTGACAGGTAGAACTTCCTCGCCTCGTTGTTGCATCAGGACACCACCAACGCCGGTACCACTGGCGTCGACATGAAGGACGAAAGGCTTGGTGATATCTGGAGAGGCGAGAATGGGGTTAGAACAGAGGAGGAATTTGAGTTGTTCGAAAGCAACGGTTTGCTGCATGGTCCAATTATACCGTTGCTTGGGACTGGTTAATAGAATTAGAGGTGTGGCGACTGTACTGAAATTCCTCACAAACCTACGGTAGTAAGAGGCAAGACCAAGGAAGCGCAGGAGCTGCTTCCTGGTGGTAGGCTGTGGATACTGTAGGATGGCTTGAGTGTGTGAGTCTAACGGAGCTATGCTGCCACTCCCAATAACATGACCCAGATAACGCACTTTACCTTTCGCGAAAGTGGACTTGCCCAGGTTGATGGTGAGGCCGGCTGTCAGGAGCTTGGAGAACAGACGTCGCAGCTGGAGCAGATGTTCACTCCAGGAGTTGGAGGCTACGACGATATCGTCCAGGTAGGCGTATGTGTTATCCAAGCCCTGGATGACACGGTTGACAGCTCTTTGAAAGGTGGCCGGGGCATTACATAGTCCGAAAGGAAGGCGTTCATATCTGAAAAGTCCAAAAGGAGTGATGAAGGCAGATATCTCTTTAGCGCGCTCCGTTAGACACACTTGATAGTACCCCTTAAGCAAGTCCACTTGGGACAAGTACTGGGCACTACCAATGGCATCAAGGATGTCATCTATCCTTGGCAAGGGGTAAGCATCCTTGACAGTGACAGAGTTCAGTTTTCGATAGTCAGTGCACAACCGCACCTTACCTTGGGGTTTGGGCACCAAGATACAAGGTGAGGCCCAGGGGGACTCACAAGGTGTAGCCAGTCCATGATCCAAGAGGTATTGCACCTCAGCACGCATGACTTCCTTCTTGCTCGGGCTGATTCGGTAGAAGGGTTGACGAATCGGCCGGGTGTCGGGGAGCAGTTGGATGTCGTGCTGGGTAACATTACACTCTTGGGGATCATCTCTGAACAACTCTTGATGTTCTCTGAAGATCTTGACGAGAGGTGCACTATGATTATCCTGAAAGTATTTGGGAAGATCATTAAGGATTTCGGAATTAGAAAGCGCTGACTCCTTGTCAGTGCTTTCGGGAGGAGAAGCTGGGAAGGTCTCACTGT